TCTGCGACGATTTTCCAACCTAGGGCGTACTGCTGTAAGTCCTACAATTCTTCAGAGGGTAGCGCATCAATGAGCAGTCCAATGTGCTTGGTGTGTGATTTTGTACATATGTTCATGTTGTACGTACTGAATTGATATCATCTGTCATCTATCTGTTGGTAATTGTGTTTGTGTCCGGACGACTTCCACTTGGATCATCAACCTGAGAAGGAATGTAGGCGTACTGCTGCAAGTCCTACAGTTCTTCAGGGGTAGTTTGTCGTCCCAGAATCCACAACATTTGATGTAGTGATTGTACATATGTATGTGTTAAATAGTTGTGTGAGTTCCAATTATTGTAATTGTTGGTTAGTCTTGATTGTGTCCGGACATTCTTCAACTTACAATCGTCAACCTGAGAAGGGTTGTAGGCGTACTGGTGTAAGTCCTGCGATTCTTCAAAGGAATTCCATCGAGACAAGATCTGCGAGTTTGTGTGCACTGTTTGTATATATGTGTAGTGCGTCATATCAATTGGTGTTTTTTGGATTCATTGTGTTTACTCGTTGTTTTCGTACCTTGTTTTTATTGCATAATTTTGTTAAAATTTTCGTCGTGATTACTTCTGAAGTTGTGTCCACTCTTCTACATCCGTGAATGAATTGATTGATGTTAAGGACAGCCGATGGGTCGTATACGCCGGGGAGGCTAGTACTGAGACTGAAATGCACACGGAGATAATAATTAGCTGTGGAATCAGTGATTGAGAATGAATGCTTCTATTTATGCTGTTGTCCCACGAACCTGGGAGCGGGAATGTAGACGACTGAGGCTTGCATACGTCACCGCTGCTAGAACTGAGGCAGAATGAGTGACGAGCGATCGCAGTGGTAATTGGTAGTGAGTAGATAAGAGGATGAGCGTAGAGTATTGTGAGGTACTGCCATAGTCACGTTGTATTCTGCAAGAGTCATTCTAGCAAGTGGCGATTGTGTTACAAAGGATGCCTTTAACTGGAAGGCGCAGGTCGTCATTGATGTGTGAGATTGTCTGTGAGTATGCTTGTGGTGTGTTGGCTTTCCTGTTTGTTTTCATTTTAGCTCTGTCTGTGTGACTCAGGTTCTGGCAATGGCATCCAAGTCAACGTGTATTGGTCGTGATGGAAAAGAGGGGTTGGATCCCTATTTTGCCGGGGAGTATCAATGTAGTCGAAGATTGAACGATCAATTCATGGTTGTTTGGTGAAACCCAACTCTGTATTTTGGCGGGAGTTATGGATGCTGCAGTCATCATCTCATCATTGTCTGTGTAGAGGAATATCGAAAACTATCAGAGACCTTGTGTAACAACCTCATTGTTGGTTACATTTTGGTGTAAGAATAAAGGATTCTCGAGTCGCCAGTCAGTGTTCTGATTTTTGCGTTGGTTAATACAAAGTGTTTCTGAAAGTCTTCCAGGAACAGTGTGAGGTCCAGCGTAGTAAGAGCTAGACATTGACGGTTTATGAAAGCTGGCTGGCATACGTCATGCTCTATTCGTGTGGGATCTGATGAAATTGACTTTGTACTGAATTGGTAAAAGACTGAGGAAATGAATATATTGTCCTAAAGATGTAGGTTTTCTGCAGACATCTCCATTTCAGCTTTGCACGTGTGACCCAGGTTCTCGCATTAGCATCCAAGTCAACGTGTTTTAGTCATGATGGAGGAAAGGGATGTATCCGTTTTTTGCCTGGGAGTGTCGATTTGTTTGAAGATTGAACGATGAATTCATGGTTGTTTGCTCAAACCCAACTCTATATTTCGGCGGGAGTCATCAATCCGTCAGTCATCGTCCCATCGTTCACTGTTAGGTGGAAGACAGAGAAAAACTATCAGAAGTATTATCGTGATTTATTGTTATAACATGCATTCTTAGACTTTGTGTACAATAGCCTAATGTTTGGCTCTGTATAGGTGCAAGAATAAAGGGTTTTTGAGTCACCCATTTGTGTTGTCGTTTTTTGCGTTGGTTATTGAGCATAGTTCATGAAAGTCCTCCAAGGACAGTGTGAAGTCAAGTGTAGTTGGACCTAGACATTGACACTGACTTTGATGGAGACCCTGATGAAATATGGTAGAAAAGATGTACTCTACGTTACGTTGCTTTTATTACAGAGACTGCATACTTATTCAGGAAAGCCTCCGATAAGGTCCCCCAGAAAAGACCACTCATGCAGTTGGAAAGTCATGGTATCAAAGGTAGATTATTTAACTGGATTAGAGAATTCCTCATAGATTGTAGGCAGACGGTCAGAATACACTCGAAACTCACCTCCTGGACGGAAGCACTCAGAAGAGTGTCACAAGATATGGCACATGGGCCTGTCTAAATTATTTGTTTACCAATTCATTATCTGTGCTAAAAGATTCCTCAGTGCCCCTATACGCAGATGACTTGAAAATTTGGGGAGGGCTGAAGGGTGACGGCGATAAGCTCACGCTGCAACAAGACCTCAACAAATTGTAAGAGTTGCCCAGAAAATGGATACTTCCGATCAGTGCAGCGAAATGTGCAACGATGCTCACTGGATACATAAACACAACCCCCTACGAACTAGCGGGAATTTCACTCCCATCAGTTAAGACTCATTTTGATTTAAGTTTCATAGTTAGCCACGATTTAAAAACTACACCACACTGTCGCGCGGTGGCTGCACGTAGTTTCAGATCCTTATGGGCAATTCGCAGGGTTTTTACAGAATCACCAGAGATATGCTCACCTCCTTATGTCCATATATGATGAAGTTAGTATTGGAAAAATGTATTCAGGTAGCCAGTCCCTATCTTAAAGGGGACTCACGCATTCTAGAAAGGGTTCAACGGAATGCGATATGTATGATTCTCGGCATGACTAATTTATCACACGAGGAAAGACTAGAAAGTTTAAATCTCTTCTCCCTATCACACTGTAGACAGAGAGGAGATTTAATTGCATTGTTTAGGGTTTTATATAGTGACTACAGACCTCGTCTATTTTCTCCTTTCATTCCCACCAGGTCGGAGCACTTTAGAGGACATAGTGGAAGAGCTCGAAAGCAGAGAAGAAGCCATATTGCTGTGGGATAATGGTTCTCACACCGAGTCATAATCTCCTGAAACTGACTTCCCGAACAAGTGGTGTACGCAACACCAACTGATTCATTCAGGAAGGGTTTGGAAAAGCACAGAAATTTACTGGAAGAGAATCAACATAGACTTCAATCCTTCTATCCTCAATTAATAAATCTGAACTTTAGGGCAAGGATTCGGGTACGTTCCAACTTCTATTCACTGCGGGTTGGCCGTCCCTGGTATTCCTTACCGGTAGATGTAGCTATGGCCCCGTCTTTAGACGCCTTTAAGCGAGGGCTGGACAATCATGCAGCGACAGAAGGACTGCATCCAAATAGTCTATCCCCTTAAAATCCCATGCAACATTCAGGGGTAGACAATTAAACCTGTCGTTTTACTTCTTTACATTCTCTCCCGTCTCACTCTCCTGACAACTTTAACTGCACCTATTATTATTGTCATTATTACCGATATATATATATATATATATACATATAATTCATGTTATTCTTCAAATTTAATCAGCTGACTATTGTTAGGCTTTCCTATTTCCGTTTCTGTCTGTTAGTCTGAATAACTTCATCAATTATATCTATTATTATTGTCTCTTTTCTTTTGAAGAAGATACCGGAGGACTAACCGGTGAAAGGATCAACTCCAATCACAGTAGTAACAGTCGTAACACACCTCATACTACAAACCACACATCTAATCCTAACACTACTCCTTTCTGAGTCAACCAAAACTACGACAGTCGAGTTGCGGGACGAGCTACGTAGAATTTTACCGAAGATCAGGAATATATACTTCACAATCAAGAAGCGAGCACAAAGAAATCAAATTGGTTTATACTGGCTCGTAAAAACGATATTGGATATTGGACTCGGCGCGCATTGTGGTGGTTGCTTTACGTCACATGTGGGTGTCATGCGGACTTTTCTTTTTATGTTTATAGCTTGATCCCACACCACGTTTTTTTGAATGTATGGGGTTTTCAGCATGTGATATCGGTAGCCCAAATTTTGCAGGCTGACCATCGATATCAGGTGTGCGTCGGCAGGGGATTGAACCCCGGGCCATGTGCATGGTCGGCGAGAGTACATACGCTGTGCCACCGATGCATTGTTTGCGTGGTTTGTTTCCATATTAGACAGCGTTTGACTTTAAGCTCCTGTAAGTACTAACGGAAAATAATCTTGAGCACACTAACCACATGGTAAGTGCGATTTCTGCGCTAAATATATTTGTATGTATATAGATATTTGTAAATATATGTGTATACACATACATTCTTCAGAAATAATGGATTAAGAGGGATAAAACTAACACAAGATACAGTCATCTGATGTGTGGCAAAATACTTCCCAGCGGAGTAATTTAATCACGTCCAGTGCTTGTAATAACCTAAATCTTCTAACTTTTCCTAAACCTAACCCTAAAGTGAAAATATCCTTAAACTAACCTTAATTTAATGTTGCTCTCACTAGGTTGAACTAACCATAACCTGCCTTTAAATTAAATCCTAACTAATTCTTTCCCAAACCTATTCGGAACATTATCGGATAATGCATTAAATAACAACACTTCACTGAGTATATTTTATTCATGACTACAATATTATTTGCCAGGTTTCAATAACTTGCTCTTTGAACATTTTTAGGTCGTTGGTGCGGTCGTACTCTACTGGTACTTACTGGTGCTTAAAGTTTAACTTGGCCCGTATGGTTTTATGCTGTCATACTGGGTAACTATCAGTTTTTCTATTTTTTATGTGTATGTAAAAGCGACTGTATTTTTTGCTTTTTCCATTCTTTTAGATTCTAGTGTCTGAGTAGACTCTAATTGTCGGTTTTGCGAAGGATTTCCTTGAAGCTTCATTCTTCCAGCTTGCCTTTCGGCTTGGCCCGAAACTTTCTGTGATTAATTATCATGGGTTTTAGTGATCTTGGTTTGATTCCTGAGTTATGTTCAGTATGTAGACGAGTCAAGTGGTCATATCCCACACAAATACAGTCAGCAGCAATACCTCCCGCTCTCGAAGGTTTGTTCTAAAGTATTTATCTGTTAGCTTACTTCGTTTTCTGTACATGGTGGTATCTTATTTGGTGACTTTTGGGAAAGTAAAGGGTTGCAGTGTCAGTGTGGTTATTGTCAGTGGCTGTTGGCGAAATCAATGTCTCACAGTGAAATATATTGTAAAATGATCATACTGCTTGTAGCTTCGAGATACACCACTATATGCCAAGAAGAAAATATGGTTAGTAAGACTACTAATGTGCAGGCATAACTGAATAGCCTTAAAAATCTCATTTTCAGCTTTTGGGTTCAGGGTTTAATATTGGCTCAGCCTATTTAATTAGTATCATTTAAAGTGTCACCCATAACATGGTGCATAGGAAACTGTCTCAGGCCAATGAATTCTAACTGACTAAGACGTCTCATTTTTCTAAGTGATATTACAGGTTGCTTTAGCATGATCTTCAAGATTTTTATTTAGGTATTTTTGGGATTCGCCATAAGTTGCTTCCTACTTTTTTGCTTATAGCACTTAGTGTTCGCCAGTTGAAAATTTCTCCGTGTTGGCCAAATTAGTCTAACAAGAATTACAAAGTGTTGGGATAATAGAGATTTGTAGCTCAGGTGGGTGATTTGCAATTAGTAGTGTTCTCTGGTTGGTTTAGTCGCGGAGCTTTCGTCGTCCTTCTGGACAACATCTGCTTTCAGCGCAATATTTAGGATAAAATGAAATGATTTAAATTTCTCCCGGTAACCATCATTACATATGTATTGACCATTTTCTATCGACTTGGATTTTAAACTTTCTGGTCACGTGATTTACTTTTTATTAGTTGGTGTATTTGGTCTACATTAACGTGTTTGTTAATTGCACATTCGTTTGAGTATTAGGCTTCTAGCAATTCCCTGGCATTACTTTAAGTGTTTTTCCCCTGTCTAAGATTTTGACATTATCCCAATCAAATTGACGTCCATAATTGTCTGTGTGCATTGATATGAAAGAATATATGTCTTGTCTTTTCACGGCTGATTTGTGTTCTTGGATTCTGATTCTAAGTGGACGCCCACTTTGGCCGATGTAACGCCTGTTACAGTTCATACAATTTATTTTGTAAATTGTATTAATCTCCTTTTTCTGTTGGATCTTTCGGTTTGCATAATATCGAATTAAGTGATTTGACTGGCTTGTGTGCTATATCTATATCAAACTGTTTCAGTATTCTAGCTGTTATTTCAGAGATATTTCTCATGTATGGTAGGATAAATTTTCTTGTGGTCTTTGATGATGGTTCCTCGTTGGTGTTTATTCGATTTTAAACACTTCGATGAAACACCAAAAGTGCCAGGGAATTTTTAGAAGCCTGGTACTCAATCGAATATGCGATTAACAAACACGTTAATATAGACCAAATACACCAACTAATAAAAAGTAAATCACATGACCAGAAAGTTTAAAATCCAAGTCGATAGAAAATGGTCAATACATATGTAATGATGGTTACCGGGAGACGCAATTATATCACTCATGGAGAAAATTTAAATCATTTCACTTTATCCTAAATATTGCGCTGAAAGCAGATGTTGTCCAGAAGGACGACGAAAGCTCCGCGACTAAACCAACCAGAGAACACTATAAATTACAAAGTGTTGGAATTAGTGGAACATGTTTTTTGGTGCTCCCTCTCTTCAGGAAATTGCGTGTGTGTGTGTATCGCAATTATCCCCTAAAATTGTGTGGCTTATTCATCATCACTAACTATGTATGATTATTCTCCTCAAATCGTCGATTTTATTCATGAGGTTCCATGTCGTTTTAAGTTAAAGGCATAACCCTCCCATTTTTCCAGATTTTCTACTATGAGGCACAGTAATAAAGTAGGCAGAGGTTGAAATAATGCAAGATGTCATTAGTTGTGGTTAAATGCTTCTGTACCACTTGTGGAGTTTGCGCTCTTCAAAGCAGGTAGGTTAGCTGAAATATATTATTTCAGAGCACATGACGGTGTGTTGTTTTTCATTACTTTACGTCCCCAATAGAACATAGGGCTTCAAACTAGAGGTTTGAAGTTTCTGTAGCGGTGGTGTTTATTTTTACGGGATGGGGTTACTGCTAGCGAAGACAGCCCTATTTATATTAGTATAGTTAAGAGTATAGATTTCCGAATCACTTCTTTGTTGTGATGACGCGGTGGTCTTAACCTGTATGCAGATGATTAGTCGAGGATCTGAAAATCTGCACAAGATTACTAGAAAAGGAGGACAATATATACTTTGCAAATATCTTTGCAAGACTACCTACTATCACCAATGACTTCTGATTGCAGTAGATTGGATAATGCGACAGACAGCGGCGGGGAATGAGGAAACAGGCATAAAATGGACCCAAACAAAAAACACTTTGAGGGTCTGGACTTCGCCGATGATACATGTCTGATTTTCCACAAACTGGGAGATATGCAAATGATGAAAAGCAACAAGTTGGCGATAGAAGAAGCATCAAAGATAAGACTTCAGGTGAACATTGAAAAAAACATAGGTGATGAAGATTCCTGGCCAACACCAACAACAGACAATAACCAGCCAGCATAAATGGGAGGAACCTGAAAGAAACAACCTCCTTCACCTACCTGCCTCTGAAGGATCGTTTCAACTACAGGCGGAAATGACGAGGATATCAAAGCCAGACTAGGAAAAGCAAGACAAGCCTTCATTATTCTCAAGTCTGTGTGAAGGTCAACAGCACTCAGCATGAAAATGAAAATAAGATCCGGATTTTCAACTCCAATATGAATTCAGTCAGTTCTACTATACGGATCAGAGACTTGGTGAGCCATAAAGAACACCTCAAACAAAACACAGACCTCCATCAACAGGTATCTTCGCTCAATACTAGTCAAGATCAGATGGCCGGCCAGAAAAGATCAGCAATAGGGATTTCTGGCAATGACTGAACCAACCAGGAACCGATTGTGCAACAAATAGGCAGGAAGAAATGGAGTTGGATTAGCCATACTCTGAGGAAACAAACCATCAAGTGACATCAAACGACAGGTCATCACTCGAGTGAAACTCGAACAGGAAGTGGCGAGTTGGTTGTCCAGAAGTGACTTGGAGCAGGTGATGTGAAGAGGAGATGAAAGCATCTGGGCAGACTTGGAGCCAGGTGAAAACTCTAGCAAAGAAGCGAACGCAATGGAGACGTGGGCGGCTGAAGCTCTATGTTCCTCTAGGAATTAAAGGAAATAATAATAATAAATATTCTTGCGGTCACAGCTATTTTTATTATATTGGTTGGGTAAATTGTTTGCCTCTTGATTTGACTTTGTACCGAGTGTATTGAGTTCAGAATTTTTGTGTACCAATGCAGTCATTTGGCATCTGGTAACCCGTCTATTCTTGCACAGCCCTTCAGCACCTATTACATTTAAACAAATAAATTAATTTTATCATATTGGTGCCCATTGGAAGCTTCAAAACAAAAAAATGAATAACTCACCACCTACAAATTCATCTGGCTTTCATTTTAGTTCTGTTCAAAGTTTCACACTGTAGAAATTCTCCTCTTGGTTGTGGAAAGCTACCTTCAAAAGAAAGTCTGTAGACATTGAGGAATAGTGTTTTGAAGAAGTAATGGGAAACTTGTTTCCTTGCTTTTCAAATAGAGAACTTGGGGCTTCAAGCTTCATCTTCGAAGTTTCAGTAGCAGCAATGTTTTCCATAGGGTTGGGTTGTTAGCTTCACAGCCCCAACCTCCCCTCTCTACCAAGCTTGAAACCTGTTAAATAAGGTTAAGGAGCGTGTTGACCAAGGAACTAACCCTGAACCACATGCATGATTGGCGAGTGTTCTCCCACCGAGCCACTGAAACACATTACTATCTGATATTACATCATATTTCGCGAATTGCATCAACAAGAACATAGAACTCTGCACCGGTGTGCAGCAGTTTGAGTCGCCACACTTCACTCAATACACAAAGCCAGGGAAAAAGTAAAAAGAAAGCAAAATGGAGACAGTAAACAGAGATATGAGGCAAAGAAATAGTAATAACGAAGAACAATATAGTTTTGTTGGGTATTATAAGTCACAAGGAGTGGATGCATCTCCGCCATCCACTGTGAACGATTCTGAGCCCTATCACCAATTTTCTCCAGCCGTCATTGGTTTTTACCGTCCCGAGGACCCTAACCAGGAAGTCTACACCTTCCTACGTGGCTGGCTCAAACTAACTGTTGTGGATTTGATTGATTGATGAAGCCATGCTTTGGTTTGACCACCGCTGACTAACTCTTTTCCAACCTGACCCTATGCCAGCTAACATTCCCCGTCGAGAAATACATCATTGTTCTCAGTGTTGATTATTGTTGTTTGTTATAAAGTAATTTTACTTTTCTCATTTTATATGGTTATCAATGACTCCATTTCAACTCTTCTACTTTCTAAGGAAAGGATATTGTTGGAATCGCAGAGACAGGATCTGGAAAAACAGGTGCATTTCTTCTTCCAATAATTCAAGTAAGTAAGTAAGTAAGATGTACAACCGCCGTTGAATAAAATTTTGTGGCGCTAATATGTCCATACACCCCCCCTCCGATACATTTGCATAAAATGGTTGATTCTACTTACGTGAATCGTAATCAAAAACATTACCATGACATGCGAAACTTTTGGCTCAGTTGTCCACATATCTCTGTGAATGTTTTTTTCTCAATAGAGTATATACACGACATTTTCACGGGTGAATTGTGTTCAAATATTGTCACTGACTAAACTGGCTGACATTCATTTCTATTTTTCTTATTTTATGTTCACTTTTTGGGCCATTAAGGTGTCCTTTTCTATATGGATTTAACTAGCTATCGCACACTATGTAGCATTATTTGTGATGGGTAAAAAAGTAAAGAGTATTTGAGCTAACAGCCTCAGTTTGTCAATCGTAGTTCCTTATAATTGTATAATTTGAAAATTCCAATAATGATAATTATAGAACAGGATTTAAGCAACCAAATACGTTTGCATTTTCGGTAAATTCTCATCAGGCTTACTACATTTACATAGTGAAATATTAGTGATATAGGCATTTGAATTAATGTGGTTAATAAACTTTAAGATGTGAATTAGTGAATAACTATCAAGGTGGTCATAATAATAACGAGGATGAATTCATTCAAGTGTGTTTATATAATCTAGGCAAAGGTGAGTGTATAGGCAGAATGTGTACACTAGTAAGGGTAGGGGGTGAAGAATAACTATTGTTACATAATGATAATATAATATAATAATAACGAATTGCGAAACGGAGATTTGGGAAGCTACATCACCTGCAACGGGTTGATCGCTGACGTAATTTCACCACAGATACAGAATGCTAGTTTCGCACATGTCAGTTTATGCCGTCTCTGGCGTAGACGTGATATCCGACTAACTGTCGACCAAAGGGCAGGTGTACTGCTCAGCAGTCCGCTCCCTCCTCCTTTATGGCTGTGGGACCTGGCCATTGAGAGTGGAAGACATGGAAAGATTGGCTGTCTATATTCATAGGTGTCTGCGTTCTATCTCCTCTGTGAAGAGGTATAATAAGGTAAGCGATATTGAGGTTAGGCGTCGAGTGCTAGGTATGTGTGAGAGGAAATCAATCGACGAGGCTGTGAAGCTACATTGACTGAAATGGTTAGGACATGTGTTACGCACGTCTCGCCTGGCCATCGCCTTCCTTCACGGGCAGTGTTAGCTGACATAGGGTCAGGTTGGAAAAGATCTAGCACGCGGTGGTCAAACCAAAACACGGCTTCCCCAGTCAATGAAATCCACATAAGTTAGTTTAAGCCATTCGCGTAGGGAGGTGTAGACTTCCTGGTTGGGGTCCTCCGGATGGCAAAAACCAATGGCTGGAGACAATCGGTGATGTGGCTCAAAATCCTCGTTCTCAATGGCTGGCGTAGATGCGTCCACTCCTTGTGACTTGTAATTTCCAATGAAACTATATTGCTCTTCGTTATTACTATTCCTTTGTCTCACACCTTTGTTTACTGTCTCTATTATTCATTTCTTATACTTTCTTCTCTTGGTTCGTGTGCTACATGGGGGGGGGGTTGAGTGTGGCGACTTGAACTGCCGTACACATGTGCAGAGTTCTGTGTCGAAAACAGATAGGCAGACAAAAACAGAAATTAAAATGTACAATTACAATACAGGATGATATTGATAATACAGTTAGTATTACAAATAAAATATGAAATAAAAGTAATAAGGTAATATTAACAGTTATGCGGTGTCATCAGGAGGCGTAACTATTTTAGGTTTACGTTGAAGACCAAGAGACGGAGAGGCATTGAACAAACTTTTTCTGAACACGCCACTCGTTGTATAATTCCAACGCACGTGAAAGATAAGCTACCGAATTTGGCCACTTCAGTGTGCATCTATAAATTTAACTGTTCATATAGAGACCCACCATCGCCTTCTGAAGCACTGTGCAACCTAGTCAGACAGAGGAGTCGTAAAGTCAAGTTCCATACTGGCATGCCTATTGGATACGGAACAGAAAACTGACAACAATTTTAGCTTTTACAATTCTAAGCAGGGTGCAACCTCAACTCCCTCCTAGGTTGGTACGTCTTCGGTTGCTAAGAGTAGCTGAGGCAGAATTTTCACTTCAATTACTGTGTTCAGAAAAAGTTTGTTCAGTCTCTACCCCTCCTTTGGCCTTCGCTCCCAACATAAAATAGTTATCTCTCCTGGTGACACCGGATAACTGTAAATATTATCTTATTTGTGATGCTAACTACATTGCATGGAGGATTTCATCATGAGCTGACACCAGCTAGCGGACCATTGGAAGACCTAGAAGTACTGGAGGGCTGTTTCGTCCTAGCTTGGGACTCTTCATCAGTACGAACCCACTCGGGTTAAAACCCGGTGCATTATCAATATTGTGCTGTGCTGTAGCTGTACATTTTATTTCCGGTTTCACTATTTATTATTATTATAATATTATCACTATGTGACAACGGTTATTTCACTCCCCACCCCTACTAGTATGCACATTTTACCTATATGCTCTCCAATATGAAGATTATATAAATACTTGAATGAATTGACCTTTGTTAATTATAATGATCACTTAGATCGTTATCCATAATTAATTCACATTATAAAATTTTTTGTTATTCCTCGGCGTTCTGTGGGGAACAAAGGGCTTCAAGCTGGTGATCTGAAGTTCCACTAGATCTGGTGTTTCTTTTTCCGGGTAGAGTTGTCAGCTCCACGTCATACCTCCCCTCCTTACAATTGGGGTTTAGGATTTCGTCTGCTGGGAATTGAACCCAAGCCATGTTGTGCATGGTAGACGACTGATCTACCAGCGGACTACCAACTTTCTATATACTCCATTGCAATTCAACATTCTGATTTAGATCAAGAAGTATAAGAAGTGTGGAGCTCGCATAATTTGATGTTTCAGGATATTTGGAGACATTACAACCTCATCCGTAAACTCTGGTACAGAATGTCTAAAACCTGTAGTGATGGCATAACTTATCTCACAGTTGTTTCAGTGTTCCATATTAGTTTGCTTATTAGATGTATCACACAGTGAATGACAGTATTATTTACTGGATGACACAGTTTCGAACACAATTTATTGTCCATAATCCTATCAATGATAATCGCACGACTTTGAAACTTGAGTTTTATAGTTTTCTTTGTCTTCTCCTATTTGTCGTCGTAGGGGTAGTAGAATTTTCCAGATATGAGGGACAGGTAATGAATCATTCCAATTACATGTATTTGTAATTGATTCGATAAACAAAGCTTCTGTTATCAATCTCTCCCCCTCCACCCTGCTGTAACATTAGATTTCAAAACTGTCATCCTATCCCATCCAGCCTATTGTATGGTTGTGTGTGACTGCATGTAGTGATCGCCATGGTTGGACTATTCTCTAGATTTCTTATTTTATTTGGGTCAACCAATCTAGATTATGTTAGGTTTTTTATGTTCGGCTAGTCTGACTGCCCCTGTTCTACTAGTTTGACCTATGTATTCGACCTGACAATCATTGCAAGCAGGGAGGGTATTAGATAAACTAAATTGTTTTGTCTTAAAGGCTTCGCAGGATTGACCCTTTAACCGATAAAGCTTGTTTCTAATTGAGTTTGTGGGTTTGAATGTCACTTTTATTCCTACTTTGTTAAGAATTATGCGTAGGCTTTCCGAGGTTTCTTCTCCGTATGGAGTTACTACTGATGATTTAGATTCCTTATTGTTGGTGTTGTCTTGCGCATGTAGACATGCATGTCGTCATTATTATTATCATCACTATCACAACTAACATTGTTTATTTTATTTTTACATTTCCCTACATATTTCCTGACTAATTTATCAGGGTAATTATTAAGTTTTAAGGCGTCTCTTATATGTATCACTTCATGTCTTAGATTTTCCTTGGTACTACTTAGTTTTTGTTCTCTGTCACTTAAACATTTCACCAATCCTGTTTTTACTGACATAGGATGGGATGATCGGAAGTCCAAATATCTGTTTGAATGTGTATGTGGGTTTCCTGTAAACACTAGTAGTGTTTAACTTCCCATCTTCTTTCCTTTTCACACTGCCATCTAACATTTGAAGCTCCTCTTCCTGACTTTCCAATTCGTCATGAGTGAATTGAATTGCCTCCAATTTAGAGTTAATGTGTTTCAGTGTTATTGATCTTATTAAAAAAGTTAGAAAGTCTGAGCAATTTTGTCTACAGATTCTTCGATTGTTTAATCTGGTTTCTCCAAACTAAATTCATTGACGCAATTTATGCTAATACACTGACATTGTAAGAAATATTACTCCAAACGATAGTACCACCTCTTCTGAAAACTAACACTTCGAATGAGTAGATATACTAAATAAAACAGGTAGGTTGTTATCTGGGTTTCTAGTGGGAAGTCGTGACCAGTAGGGTACAGCAGGTTGGGCGGTTGTGAGGACAAATACTTGCCAGCTTTGATACTGGCTAGTGGTCGTACCATGTCGTGAATTGGCAGAAGTTGGAATTTATGGGATGGCTGGCCATTGGATCGGGTGCCAGTGGCTTGATGGTCTACGAGGTCGCCATGTACCAGAAGGTCCTGGATTCGAATCCCAGTACGGGGATGCGTACTGATGAAGAGTCCCAAACTAGGCTGACGAGGTAGCTGTCCAGTACTCCTAAGTGGTTTTCCAATAGCTCTCTAACCAATATCAGCTCATGATGAAATCCTGTAACCAATCAATCAAAATCCTTTTAAATCAATACGTGAACAAGCTATTCTATAGCTCTGTAAACTGATGCAACAGTTCTTAAGTAGGCGATTGTTAACCGAAGTTGAGCACCTGGCTTTCAATACTTTCCTCATTCAACGTGTTTTTATCTCAGATGCTACTTCGTTCCTATGTAACCGCCATTAAGTCAGTTCAATGACTAGTTAGAGTCAACTACTATATATTAGTGAGACGAGTGAAAGTTTGGAATTGGCAAATGAAGTTAAACTATCTCCTAAGGTTTTCCCAGTTATCCTTTTTGCCAGTAATCAGGTTGTTGCTGAAGGTGGTAACCGGTCAGGTGTGCATAAACACAGAAAAAAAGCAATTTCAGTTGAGCTTCAATCAGTTCACTAAGAAGCACTTGTTCTCAAAGAACTTTCATATTAAAAGGTGACACTCAACCTAGACTAGGATTTCTCATATCTCTTTTCTTTGATCTCTCACAGAAAGTGTTATGTACTAGTTTCCCCCGTCGCCAAATTGTTATGTACTCGTCGCTAAATTATTGTTATGGTCTGGTCGGGAAACTAATAGTCCTAACGCAAGAAAGACGGAAATCAGAAGACCACTAGGTTTGCGATGATACTTCTATTTCCAACACAAGGAGAATGCAATAAAAGTGGTATCACACCCAAGCGGTAAGTAAGTAAGTAAGTGTAAGTAAGTAAGTCACACCAATTGTGAGAGCGAAATATATATGACAAGGGTGTGAACAATCATTAGACAGTCTTAACATGAATGGCTAATTATAATGAAGTATCGATCCATATATACATAGCGAAATATAGCAGACATGTCAACAACCACCATATATGGATATATGTCACCAAGCAACGGACTGTCAACAAACACTCATATTATATATAATATAATATAAGGAGAATATACATTGTTAAAGGTGAAAAGTTCATACAAGTGAAATGGTCACAGACTAAGAGAGCAAACAGAAAGAGAGACCAACATGCACACACACACATAAATATATATATATATGTGGATACATATCAGAAAGCACTCATAAGGTACTGAAATTCTGTGCTATAATTCCATGATAGGGTGTTTAATTTTGTTATAATTCCCTATTATATATTTCATGCAAACAGAATTAGAATTCCATAGTCGATGGAATTATCTGCGTTTAGTGTTCATTTAATTGAAACAAGTCATAATAAACATTATTATTATTTCCTTTAGTTCCTAGAGGAAAATAGGGCTTCAGCCGAACGTTTCTATTGCGTTTGATTTTCTGACAACGTTTTCACCTGGTTGCCCACATACTTTCATCTCCTCTTCACATCACCTGCTCCAAGTCACTTTTGGACGACCAACTCGTCACTTCCCGTTTGAGTTTCACTCGAGTGATGACCTGTCGTTTGATGTCACTTGATGATTTGTTTTCGCAGAGTATGGCTAATCCAACTCCATTTCTTCCTGCCTATTTGTTGCACAATCGGTTCCTGGTTGGTTCAGTCATTGCCAGAAATCCCTATTGCTTATCATTTCTGGCCGGCCATCTGATCTTGAGCGGAGTATTGAGCGAAGATACCTGTTGATGGAGGTCTGTATTTTGTTTGAGGTGTTCTTTATGGCGCACCAAGTCTCTGATCCGTATAGTAGAACTGACTGAGTTCATATTGGAGTTGAAAATCCGGATCTTATTTTCATTTTCATGCTGAGTGCTGTTGACCTTCACACAGACTTGAGAATAATGAAGGCTTGTCTTGCTTTTCCTAGTCTGGCTTTGATATCTTCGTCAGTCCCTTTCGCCTGTAGTTGAAATGACGCTTTCCAGGTCGGTATGTAAAGGAGGTTATTTCTTTCAGGTTCCTCTCAATTATGCTGGCTGGTTGTTGTCTGTTGTTGTTGTTACTGTTGCTGTTTGCCAGGAATCTTCATCACCTACCTGTGTTTTCTGTATGTTCACTTGTAGTCTTATCTTTGATGCTTCTTCTATCGCCAACTTGTTGCTTTTCATCATTTGCATATCTTTCAGTTTGTGGGAAATCAGACATATATCATCGGCGAAGTCCAGATCCTCAAAGTGTTTTTTGTTTGGGTGCATTTTATGCCTGTTTCCTCATTCCCCACCGCTGTCTGTCGCATTATCCAATCTACTGCAATCAGGAGAGTCATTGGAGATAGTAGGCAGCCAGCCAGCTTGTCTTACTCCGGTCTTCATTTCGAAGGATTCCGTGAGTTTCCCGTTGTGGATTACTTGGTATGCAACATTTTCGTACAAGTGTTTGATGAGATGTATAATTGTTGGCGTAATAAACATACTTGCAGTAATTTCAAGTCATCTTTAAACCCATAGTCGTTGAGGGATTTTTCGGAATGACCTAATATCTATTTAACTACTTAATTCATCAGTTCATCGGTACTCTTATCACGTTCTGTGATGTGTGCATGTATATGCTTACTCTGAACAGACACAGGAAACTGGTAGCTATGAAGTCAATACCCGCTCAGTTTAGCGACGAAACAAGGTGTCTATTTAGGGAAGACGTAGTAGTACTGAGGTTACACATAGAGTAGTTAGGTAAGTTAGGAAAGTCAGTCGATTATGTTGTAAAGGTACATCGATTAAGATGTCTAGTAGATGTATTACGCCTACCGAGCCATCGCCTTCCGTGTCAGAGGAAACGCTAGCTGACATTCGTTAGGTTGGAAAAGAGTTACATTACTATCAATACAACCATCAAACCATCGCATCAATCCATTGAGCCCTTGACAGTTGGTTTGAGCCACGTAAGAATGTGCTGACTATAAATGGCTGGGATCTTCGAGATGCTAAGAACTAATGACTACAGGCTGTTGGTGATATGGCCCCAAATCGTTTTCAATGGCGCAGATAGAGATGATTTGTAGCTCAGGTGGATGATTTTGATGTGGTTGTGTTCTCTGAGCAGTTGGATAGTTAATTTGCGAAGCTTTCATCGCCCTACTAGACGACATCTTCCTTCAGCGCATACATCAATTTGAAGTGAGCTTTTAGATTTCCCCACGAGTTTATCAATCATCTCTCCTGGTGACTTTGGACGTGACTGGTTGTTTTTGTGTGTTTTCACACCTTCTGGACCACTTGTGTTGGAACTGATTGTTTCTTTGACTTGAAGTTTGACCCTTTGTGTGTGAAGTTTCTTTCTTATCGGTTGATAAATTTTGTCTATCTCTATGCGTCTATTAATTGGTGATTCACCGGAGGATCAGGTAGGCTTCTAAAAAATTCTCTAGCATTCTTGTTGTTTCCTCTGTCTAATATTTGAACGTTGTTCCAGTCGAATCGATGTCCGTGGTTGTCTGTGTGTAGTGAAATGAGGGAGTGGATATCATGTCTTTTGACGGCTAGCTTATGTTCGTGGATACGAAGACGAAGGGGACGTCCACTTTGACCAATGTAGTGTTTTTCGCAGTTGTTACAGTTTATTTTGTAGATGATGTTGGTTGGTTATCTTCTTTCGCTGTTGAGTCTTTTGGTTGACATAAAGCTGGCTGAGTGAAGTGGCTTTGTTGGTTTGTGTACGATGTCAATTCCTTAAGGTTTGAAGAGTACTGTAGTGATTTCTGAGATATCCTTTATATATGTGGTAAGGCGATTTTCTTTGTGCTTTCCTTGGTTGGGGCTTTCAGTTTGATAGGTTGGCTTGGGGGGGTATATGTGTCTTTTGATGAAAATGGCGCAGATACATTTCCCCTTTGGAATTTCTCGGATCTACTTAACCCCTTCTTCTCTAACTTTGTGCGCCATATAGAGTTTGACAGATTGAATCGGTGTACTTTTTGTCCAGAGTCCTACATTGAAACTCAGTTAGTCAGTTAGTTAGTAGTTATTCAATTCACCGGTGGCACAGTGGTTAGGACTCTTGCCGACCATGCACATGTTCCGGGGTTCGAGCTCACCCCGACGCACACCTGATGTCTATGGTCGACCTGCGAAATTTGGGCTACCGATATCCATGCTGAAAATTCCATACTTGTACCAAAAATGCGGTGTGGAATCAAGCTGTAATCAAAAATAAAAATAAATAAAATAAATAATTCTGCCCACATTTTTATTCTTTTCAATTTATACAGCACTGGATCAAATCAGGTCAGCCTGTTGGTTTCGCGCTTATATTAGCACCAACACGAGAATTAGCTCAACAATTAGCCAATGAAGCAGAACACCTGGGACAGTATAAAGGCGATGGCATGGAATTCCGCTTACAAGTTATTCGACTTGTCGGTGGTGAAGATATTGTTGATCAAGCTTTAAAATTAGCCTGGAGAAAACATCACATTATTGTTGGTAAGCGGTGTATATTTTTGACTGGACACTAGTAAGTATCTAGTGTAATGTGCCTGTGTGTCAAGTCTTATCTTCGGTGCAGACTGAATTCTATTTCCAGTCAAGCTTGAAATGTGGCTTGCCATTACAATGCAGTGTGAATTGTTGTTATTAGATGGTTGGAGGCAATCGACCGCAGGAAGCCTTACGTGACCTAGGTTTCGTGCTAGTTGGCACTCACCAGTGAGTCAGTCAGCAAGGCGTATCTGCAACTGCCTCGAAGGAACTCATGTCCCTTCTGAGATTTGAATCTGCGTCACCTAGTGAGTACTACAGTCACAGACGTTACCATTAAGCTATTCAGACTAGTAAAGTCTCTGACTGCAGTATTCACTGGATGACTAATCGTCCAGTCTTCAGTGTCAGGAGAAGAGTACAGCTATTATAATAAAAGTTTTCAGCTTAAAGAAATTGAGCCTTGTTTGTGAATAAATCATTACAATGTTATTAAGAATAATTAATATGAACCTTTTTTTAGGCAGCGAAAATATGTTTTTGTGCGTGTGTGTGTGTATGTGGACATTTTTTCCGCTTGGAACCTTCAGCGTGGATAAATCCAAGTATTTCTGCTAAAGAAGCTATACGTTTCATGGTAAACTAAGAGATATGTGTAGAGTAATAGAAGAAAAGGCGTTCAACGAAGAGTTACTCTCAAGAGTTATTCTCAAGCTGTACAGTCGCATATACATAGCAGTGAATGAAGCCTGGAAGAATATTCAGTCAGCCATAGATACAGCTGTTAAAGCTGTGAATAAGGCGAATCCAAAGGTGAGTAAAAAGCATTGGATTTCGACTGCCTCATCCGAATTGATAGATGCTAGAAGACTTATTCCGGCGAGCTCCGAATTCAATGAGGATCGAAAGCTGCACAAAGGAAACTTACGAAAAGTCTCCGCAAGGACCGTGAACAGTGGTGGCTGACAAAGACAAAAGAGATGGAAAAAGCATCGGGGATAGGCAACACTAGGCAACTGTTTAGACTCATCAGGGAAACGGGTGGGAGAAGGCAAATCATAAGTGAAACAATCTCAGAGAAAAATGGCACCATAATTAGCTCTCAGGATAGACGCTAGAAAGAACACTTTGAGGAACAATTTAACTTGCCTACAGCCACACTGAACCTCCCCGCCATCCAGCACACACCCGAATGAGATATAGACACTGGTCCGCCGTCGGTGAGGTCACAAAAGCTATCTGTAATTTGAAACGAGGCAAAGTGGTAGGACCGACGGAATTATTCCGGAGGTGTTTAAATATGGGGGTGACATACTAGTTTGTAGATTAACTAAGGTACTAGGCAAAGTCTGGGGATCAGAGACGGTTCCATCACACTAGGGTAAGTCACTTATTATACCGATATTCAAGAAGGGAAACAAGTCCTCGTGTGATGATCATAGGGGGATCAGCCCAACGAACATAGTTTCTAAAATCCTAGGCTCAGTAATCATGCATAGACTAAGCAGAACTCGGGAGGAACACACGAGGGAAAATCAAGCAGGCTTTAAACCAGGTAGAGGGTGCATAGATCATATCTTCACTTTCCGACGGATTCTAGAACATAGACACACTTTTCGGCGTCCAACAATTGTCATATTTCTTGACTTGAAGGTGGCCTTCGACTCCGTGGATCGAAAGGTACTATGGCAATGTTTGATTGTGAAGGGAGTACCAAGAAAGTACACTGCACTAGTCAAGGCACCCTATTCAAACTCCCTTAGTCGTGTGAGGGCTTATGGGGAATTGTCATCTGAATTGGTAACAACCAGTGGTGTCCTTCCCCATTCCTGTTTAACTTCATCACAGATATGCTAATGGGAGTACCCTTAACTGGACTGAACGACTTAGGAATCGACTTGTTACCAGGGAATAGTCTTATGGACTTAGAATATGCAGATGACATAGTCCTGTTAGGGGAGGATGCTGACAAAATCCAGCAGAGTCTTCTGAACACCTTGAGCAGCAATCTTCGTATGTTTGGCATGCGATTCGCCCATGCTGCTACAGGACTGGACTACGTCAGCTCCTAGCTTAGTGATAGGGAGTGAAGTGATGGAACATGTTGACCACTTCACCTATTTGGGAAGTTGTATCAGCACCAACGAACTGATTGGCGACGAAATCTCAACACGGATCCGAAAAGCTCGAGCTGCTTTCGCTAACTTACACCATCTCTGGCGTATGCGTGACATCCGGCTATCAACCAAGGGACGTGTGTACTGCTCAGCACTTCGCTCCGTCCTTCTCTATGGCTCTGAAACATGGCCAATACGAGTTTAAGACATGAAAAGGTTGGCTGTTTTTTATCATAGATGTCTGCGATCTCTTTCTCACGTTAGGTGGTATGCTAAGGTAAGTAATGCTGACGTTAGGCGTAGAGTGTTGGGCAAAGAGGGAAAACCAATCGACGAGGCTATAAATTTACATAGATTGAGATGGCTGAGCATGCTTAACCATCGCCTCCCCCGACGGGCATTACTAGCTGATATAGAGGTACAGGCTGGAAAAGAGTAAGTGGTGGCCAAACAAAAACATGGCCTCATCAATCCATGAAATCATTGACAGTTAAACTGAGTCAGGTAGGGAGATGCAGACTTCCGGATTGGGGCCTTCGGGACTCTAGGAATCAATGGCTGGAGGAGACAGGTGTGACATGGCTCAAAATCGTTGTCAATGGCTAGCGCAGATGTATTCAGTCTCTGTAATCTTTCATATTCCTTTTTTACCATTACTCATTCTGTTTCACTCTGATAGGATCCCACATATTTTGGTACTGACTGTTAATCTTGTATATATGGTATATTATCATTCTCACACATTTTGGTATTGGCTGTTAATCTTGTATATATGGTATATTATCATTCCCACACATTTTGTTATTGACTGTCAATCTCGCACATATGGTATATTATCATCTCTCACGCACTTTGTTATTGGCTATTAAGATCAATTATTTCAAATGCTGTTAGCTGTCCATATTGTTGTAAAATGTATAAATACCATGGCTTTCTTTGTCGTTGTTGCACTTCAATACACAGTCACAGTCCAGCCTTTGTCTTTTGATATTTGCGTGCTTTACTAAGTCGGAAGGTACGACAAGCAGATAGGCAGATTAGTTCAGGCGCAGACAGAGCAAGGTGAAAACGTCTTCCTTGAATTCCCTACAGTTATAACAAATTGGCGACGGGGTTTACCTTAATTCAGTGCAGTTATAACAAATTGGCGACGGGGTTTTACCTTAATTCATTGCAGTTATAACAAGCAAACGACGACAGTTTTTATTCTGTTCAGCGCAACTATATAACATTTTTGACTGTGTTAATTACAACCCAATTACAATGTCTATCTCTCTGGACGATCTCAAATCTATCTTGCAGCAGCAGCAAGTTCAGAATGAAGCAGCTCAACTAAAATTAATCGAAGCTCTCACTCAGAAGCTGTCCATTCAAGTTCCATCAACATCTCATTCTGACAAATATGAAAGCATCTCAAATTCCATCAGTGAGTTCAACTACGACCCAATATCTGGTCTCGTATTTGATGCATGGTTCAATCGTTACGAAGACGTTTTCCGTATTGAATGCTACATGTTTGATGATGCTGCCAAAGTCCGATTGTTACTAAGAAAACTTGGTACTGTTGAGCACAACAGATATGTTAACTTCATTCTGCCCAAGAACCCACGTGAGTTATCATTCGATGAGACAGTCACCGTTTTATCACAAATCTTTGGTGAACAGTCATCCATGTTTAATATTCGGTATCAATGTTTTCAGTTGACAAAAATGCCTTCCGATGATTATGTGACTTACGCTGGCAAAGTGAACAAGGAATGTGAAAGGTTCAAACCACACGAAATGACATCAGATCAGTTCAAGTGTTTGATTTTTATTTGTGGGTTGAAGAACCCAGAAGATACTGACATACGAACTCGACTTCTGTCACTCGTGGAACAAGACCCGAAAATGACTTTACAAATGGTGACAGCAGAATGCCTACGTTTAATCAACTTGAAGCACGATACTGCTATGGTGGAGTGCAAACGACAGTCGTCTGAATTTGGTTCGATTAACACAGTGAAAAGTCCTCCGATCACCGTTAAGTCAGTCTCAAAATTCAGCTAAACCTCCTTCAGTGTGCTGGCACTGTGGTTCGTGGCATTTTGTCAAGTTCTGTCCTTTCAAGAAGCATAAATGCCGTAATTGTCACCGTTTTGGACATAAGGAGGGTTACTGTCCACCGCAGAAAAATTCTTCGGTGAGGAACAGAAGTAGTCGTTTCAAGCCGAAACAATCTCCTCGAGTACAGACCGTTTTCACAACTTCCAAAGTCGAGTTCGCCAGCAAACGTAAGTACATAACACTAGATATTAACGGCAAACGTATTCGTCTTCAGTTGGATACGGCATCAGATATCACCGTAATTTCCCGAACTACGTGGCGCAAACTTGGTTGCCCACAGATTCTGCCGACCGAGCATGTCGCCAAGAATGTCTCTGGAGATATACTGAAACTTGTGGGTGAGATAAATTGCCAGGTTCAGTTTGGTGAGCATCACTTCAATGGTGTATGTTACGTTACAAACTACCATGATTTGAATTTGCTTGGTCTTGACTGGTTAGACAAGCTCCATATCTTTAATGTACCATTAAATTCAGTATGCTCTAATGTTTCGTCTTCACCACACAACGTTGTTCCCGGAGATGTATCTGATCAATCTCTCTTGCAACGCCGTCGTCAAAAGCACGCTTCTGTCTTCCAGGACAAACTTGGTTGCTGCAAACTGTTTGGCATCCAGCATATTCGTAGCCCCCCGTATCATCCCCAATCGAATGGACAGACTGAACGTTTCGTCGACACCTTTAAGCGTGCTTATGCAAAAGCGAAGGGGGAGGGAACAACAGAAGAAATTTTGGATAAATTCTTGCTGCATTATCGTACGAATGAAAAAGGACAGTTATGTGT